CAGCCGCATTCTGCCAAACTCCCGCGCCAGGCGGCCACTCTGCGCACTGGTGTCAGAGCCTCGGTCCCTGTTTTGGAAAACGCCTCAGTAAGCAAGACTGCAGAGTCCCTGCCCCCAAGGCGTTTATTACCCAGAGGGAGAGGCACGACTTAGAAGCCACCAAGCGGCCCCATCTCTTGGAAGAGCCCCAGGCCAGGCTGACAAAGTGGAAGGGAGCAGGCCGAGGAGTCTGCACACCCGTTCCAGGCTGTATTCCGGGAGACGCTATCGCAGGTATAAGGGACGGGTACAGTAATACCTGTAGCAGACGTGTTTGTAATTGCAAAACCTTGTCAAGCTGAATGTTCACCAGCGAGAAAACAAACTGCCCCACAGCAGGGGAAGTGCTCTACAGCTTCCCGCATCCACATGGATGAATCTCAAAACACAAGGCTGGGGAAAATGCAAATTGCAGAATGCCTTTGTAGTAACTTATATAAAGCAAAACAATAATGTATGTTGTTTAGGGATATCCGTATGTGTAATGCAAATACAAAGGCACACATGAAAATGATGCGGGACGGTGGGGGTCCTTGTCACACGCCAGGAAAGATTAGGCTCTCAGACCATTTGAAGGGTAAGGCAGGGTTTTATTGGGTGTAAAGGAAGAAAAAGGGGAACAGGGATTTAACAGAGCCAGAGTTCTAGTTGTAGGCTCCCCGCCTCACAGGTTAAATCCCAGATTCCACGGAGGAAGAGGGCCAGGCTCCTCCCAGCTGTAAACTGAGGAGCGAACTTCTGTAGCTCCGCCCCAGTGCAGTGCATAGACCAGTGGGAATTTTACCAGGGAACCCTTCCCATCTGGCTGTCTCATTCCCCCTTCTAAGAAGTCCATCTAACTGCCATTAGAATAAGGATAGGGACAAAGAAGGATCTTAGCTGTTTCCTGCTGACAGGAGACACTGTTTTGGGAAAATGGCAATCAGATCTCCCTCATAGGCCTATCTAAGGATCCCCCACAGAAGGGTCCATGGTCCAAGGCTCCAGTTGCATGACCGTTTGATGTCCTGAAAGCAGGAAGAGAAAAACTGGGTTATTAAAACACATATGGCCGGGCACGGTGGTTCACGCCTGTAATCCCAGCACTTTGGGAGGCCAAGGCAGGTGGATCACAAGGTCAAGAGATCGAGAGCATCCTGGCCAACATGGTGAAACACTGTCACTATTAAAATACAAAAAATCAGCTGGGTGTGGTGGCGGGTGCCTGTAGTCCCAGCTACTTAGGAGGCTGAGGCAGGAGAATCACTTGAACCCGGGAGGCAGAGGTTGCAGTGAGCCGACATTACACCACTGCACTCCAGCCTGGCAGGTCAGGAGTTCGAGACCAGCCTGGCCAACATGGTGAAACCCTGTCTCTACTAAAAATACAAAAATTAGCCAGCCCTGGTGGTGCCTACCTGTACTGCCAGCTACTCAGAAGGTTGAGGCAGGAGAATCGTTTGAACCCGGGAGGCGGAGGTTGCAATGAGCCAAGACCACATCACTGCACTCCAGCTTGGGTGACAGAGTGAGACCCTGTCTCGGGGAGGGAGGGGAGGGACAAGGGGAGGGGAGGGACAAGCGGAGGGGAGGGGAGAAACAAGGGGAGGGATAAGGACAGCTCAAAAATCCTGAGGCCTTTTACCAATTTGTACAGGGGGGCCAAAAGTCCAAATGGTAAACAGCTTTACTCTTTTGCTGGCATGTTGCATGTTGGGCTTCTGGGTTCCCTTCCCCTAAAACCAATCGTAAGCCAGCCAGTTTAAGGTTTGGGAAATTAACTCTTTCCAGTTTGAAAAATGCATCTGAGGAGAGCGTCCCATAGTATGGAGACACAATTACCATTGTAATTGTGAACCAAGGAGAAAGGAAAAAAGAAGGCATTTTTTCAAAGGAATCCGAAGGGTTCAAGATGCATTTGAAAGTGGTGCAGACTGAAGATAAATGGCTACCCATGTAGAAAGAGGGGAGCAGGCATCCCTGGTTCCCTTCTCTTCCTGGCAGATACCTGGGGTACGTGAGGGACAGAAGGAATAGCGTCCTATTCCATTCTTGCATCCCCAAGTCCTGGCAACCTTGGCAAGTGCTACCATGAGTGCCAAAGCGGCTTGCATCAGAAATCTTGGAATTCCTTAGATCTCACTTATGCTCAGGGGTTGGGGGGCTGCATGGACTCCTTCTCATAAGCCAAATGCTAAAGAAAAACTGTGGAACTGAGTCCTCCAACAAGGGAGAGAAAAGGATGTCTTGTGACACACCCAGATAACTGGTGGCTATAGTTATGCTTGCTAGGATTTGGGTGCATGGTGCTTGGCTTTGGTTAGCTCCCTTGGTCTTACTTTCCCAAAAGGAAACCTCTGGATGATGGGCACCCTATTTATTATCATCGCCTGGCAGAATTTGCAGGATAATTGCTTATAACTAGAATACTAATCCAGATTTTTTTATATTACGCATCCCTCTTGTTCTTTCTGAGCTGTAGCTGGAGATTGCTGGTTGGTTCACAAGCAGGGTTAGCCTAAAAATGTAGGCAAAAACTTAAAAACAACTGAGTTTAGAATTGAATGATAAATGTATAAGTTTTGGAACATAATTTCTCTCCAGTCCTCATTGTTTTAAAAAAAAAAAAGAAATTATGATAGGACTCAGTTATTTGCAAAAGAGACTTCAGTCTTACACTTGGCCTGATTATTTACATAAAGTGCAGCAAGAATAATTATTTCTACAAAGGCCTTTTGAACTGGCTTTGATGGAACTCTGTTCCACAAGGAATCTCAGGTAAGACAAAGCCAAGCCCAGCCATGAGCTGGGCTAATCCTCTCCTCTTAAGGTCCCACAATACACCCTGGGTTGGGTGATCCTCTCCTCTTAAGGTCCCAAGATAAACTTGGAGCTCCGGGACCCATTAGAAAGTGACATTCTTTACTGACCACAGGTCAGGAACCCTATACAGGAACTGTGTAGACAAGAGTATTAGGCCAGTTTCCCCACTGGGCTTTTATTGGCTCTGCAAGTCGAGACTGACTCTTTAAACAGAAGCATAGCCTTCCAGTCAAAGCCTTGGGAAAATAACCAGTTTTTCCAATTGTGTCTTGTTACAAAAGATAAACGGATTCTTATCGCACCAATCCAAACAACTATATTGCCATAAGTTAAGAATACTCACAGATAGT